GAACCAGAAACAGGAGCTCTGGGGCGAGATCCCGGAGAGCACGGGCCTGTGCTCCTGGAACGGACTCACATGCTTTCTGCTCAGCTTCCAGAGGGGCTTCACCTGCTGCTGAGCGAGGAGCCAGGCCCTGCTCCCGGGGGGCCTCCCCGCAGCCGGCCCGGGCAGCTGGAAGTCACTTCGCTGTGGGAGGCCGAGGCTATAGTGCTCCGGGCCTGCCGAGGCCATGGAGAGCCATAGCACAGCGAGCAAGGGCCGACTCAGAACCGGGGCGCAGGCAGCATCACCAGCCTCCTCCTCGGGGTCCTGTCAGCCTGCAGCAAGGACACAGTAAGCAAAAGCCGTCAGCTGCCGCCTGCCCCGCCCAGGCCGGGGGACCGGTGCACTCAACAGACAGCGATGCAGCATTACAGGGGACGGGCAGGGGGCCCCCACCTTCCTGGTGCCTACACCAGCCCTCCCTGCCTGCGGCCCCTTGGCACGGGCATCCCAGCGAGACGCGACCCGCTCCGCTGGGGCGGGCGCTCGGATGGAAGCTGGCGGCGGAAGCTTAGTGGGAAGATGGGGGCGTTCCTGGTGGCAGTTTACAAAGCCAATGCCCAAGAGCGAGTGACCATCCAAAGCAGCATTTCGGTCCCCAGCCAGGTGGAGCTTAAACCCACCCAGGGGCCCTGATCTTCAGCTCTGACGCCCAAACCAGGCTCGCTAAAGCCTCACCTCTCGCTCTGCCCTCCCTTCCCCTCCTCACCTCCCCTGGCACGGCAGCCCGCAGGGGGCAGAGCCAGAGATCCAGCGGAAGAGGGGAACTCGGTCTGCTTTGGGGGCTCACACACTGGGGGCTGCTTACGAAGTAGGTAGGGAGTTAGCCTGTTGGGGTCAGGGGATGGGGGGAATCTCAGGAAGCTAAAACACTAGCTGGGCAAGTCGGTGTCCCCCTCGGTGCCCTCTCTAAGCCGGCGTGAAGGAAGTGCCCAGGGAGAGAGGCTGATCACAGGCCCCCACCACAGAACCCGTGGCCAGCCTCGGGGCTGCCCTGCCACGGAAGAGCCAGCCACCTGCCCGTCTGGCGAGGACAGCAATGGCAGAACACGTGATTTCTGAAGCCTGTGCTGCACACCGATCGCAGGCTGAGCGGGGGCTGCTCCCC